TCAAGGCAGGCCACTTGGGTATCAAAGGGGAATGAAAAGGAAGAGTTAATATTGTTGTGCCACACGTCGTGACATGGAGATCACCCGCTGCAATGCACAGATGCTTCTGATGCAAGTGAGGACCCTTTGTGCCATGTGCCATGGCGCATGGTCATTTTTTACAAATATCAGTCATGAAAATGAGATAGAAAAAGAGAAAAGAGAAAAGAAAAGAAAGAACGAAGAGACGCACCAAGCTCTACTAGGGTTTACTTGTGGATGACTTTGGGAGTATTTTGGAGGCTACAAACACCCAAGAACACTCATTAATCTCCCCATTTCTTCTACATTTATGAATTTATAGTTAGGGTTTGATTGTGGAAGATGATTTTTAGTCCATATAAGTTATGGGTTCAAATTTATTGACTCAAATGGAGTTAATAGGAGTAGATTAGAGTATCTAAACCTAGATATAATAAATTTTGGTGTCTTGGGTTATTGGGCACCATTAATATCCAAAATTTTATTTAATATGGGTGGTTGGAAGAATATGATGCCATTAATGGGAGTTCAATAGCTCATTAATGTTATTAGGGATTAAAGATAGATAATAAATCTAATAAATAGGCTCAAACTCTTGTAGAGTAGATATTGGGCAACTTAGAAGTAGAAAAATGAGGGTTTAATGCTTGAGTTGGTAAGGTTGATGAAATTCAATTAATTGATTGTATTTTTCGCTCTTGATTACTTATTTGGCTTGGAATTCAAGCTTGAAAGCTTTTACATTGAGGGATAAACCTTTGGCTTCTCAAAGGTTTGAGGTAATCAGGGGAACCCTACCTTAGTTAGTTATATGTTAATTAATTTTTATTGATTGTTAATTGTGAATTGTGAATGTTGCATGCATGGATTGATTTTTGATGTGAAAGCATGCATTAGTTTCAATAAGTGCATGAAAATTGAATGTGCATAATGTTATTTTTGGTTTGAAATGCAAATGCAAAATGAAGATGTTTTTGAACTATGAACATGCATAAGTTTTTAGAAAAATGAATGTGATGTTATGTTGAGATAAATGTGTTTGATGAGAAATGGATTTTTGAGATAAGTGAGAATAATGTTGAGAAAATGATGAGAATATATACTTAGGTAGCACACGATTGTGAGCCCAACATGATTATTGTAATAATGAGTAAATGAAAATGAAAATGTGAAAGTGATTGAGTATCATATATGGCATTATCAGTGGGTAAGAGTTCACCTACAAATTGAGAGTAGAGAAAAAATTCATATGGTATTTAGACTGCCCTCCGGTGTACGAGGATATAGCCTTGCCCTATAGTTTGTTGAGAGACTGTCCCATATTTTGTCGAAGGACTAAAACTTAGCTATCTCCGTCAGTTTAATGAGGAGAATAACCTAGGGTATGAGACACCTTAGAGATTTGAGAATGGGAGAAGTTGTAGTCCAAGAGTGAGTCATGTGATCTTTGATTGGGTTACACCTCACGATTAGTAAGCCTGGATAGTCCAATCACACGAACGGAACCTTAATCAATGTTATAGCCCATGGTTTTAGTATGAGAAAATAAGGAGGGTATAAGGTTGGTTGATCATTGCCTATATAAGTATATGACGTGTCACACGTGTTGAGTTGTGGCAAGTTGTGTGAATAAAGAGTCATGATTACATATCTGGGAATATGGTGACAATGTGCCAAGTATATGTGAGACAAAAATGTTATTAATGAAAAAGGATGAGTTATGATATGTGTGTGAACATGTTTTAAGTATTTGGTTTCATATACATGTGCTTAGTTTATAATTGATATATAATTGCATAGGGTAGGTTTTACCTTGGTTACTGAGTGGCTAGACTCACCCGTTCCATTTAATACTTTTCAGACTCTAGCTCTGGTGCAAAGAAGGAGAAGACTCAAGAGGCTAGAAATTAACACATTCCTATAATATGTCTCTAGTTTAGATTTATTTTGTGTAATAGCTTATGTTTGCCAATTTTATGTTGCATATTATCACACTTGCACTATTTTTGTTGCTGCAAATGTTTGATTTGTATTTTAGGCTTGAGTAATTGTGTATGATGAGATACATATGTTTATAGGGTTAAAATATTAGTGCAAGTGTAGAAATGATGTTTCGAACATGTTTTATTCGATTTGGATACAATGCAATGACAAATTGCTTTTCCCTTTGTTTTTGGTAAAAAGGGGTTCAGTTGTGACCAATCAAGCGCGGCAGAAGCCATGAAACAAGCGTGAGTACATGCTCATGAATATCTATCCTCTCGTTCCATATGTGTTGGCCTGTGCATGGGGCTAGCACCTTCTATAAAACACCATGCTAATTAGGTGTACCATCGTGCATCAAGGGCTAACGGAACTGTCATTAGTAACTAGCGTTCTAATTCGGTCCCATGCCTTAAATCAAGCATACATGAGTCATAATAATAAATGATTCCTCAAATCGTAAAATCAAACATTCTCAATATATTAAATAATAGAAGACACCCAATCTTAAAATAATTCTGACTTTTTATAAAACTTTATACAGTAGAAACATTTTTATTTATGATAATTGATAATGAAATTTAAAATATAACAATATAAATAGTCATGAATATACTTAAACATTATTGTGAAGAGAATAAATTTATTAACAAGCATTTGGGATGGTATTCACTTACCTAAAATATTTTTTAATTCATAGTTCACTTATTATCACTTCACTCGAATTTCTCCTCTTCCGAACACCTTATAAAATATAAAAAGTTTTGATAAATTTTTAATCAGGTCAACAGTTCCCTTTCAACATTAATATAAAGGATTGAAACTTTTAGAACTAGGACTTTTCACATAAAAGTCCCTCACTAGCGATTGTTGATTTCTCCATTTAAATACTATCTTGTCTTAATCTTCTTGTCAAAACACCTGCTATACTTGATTTCAATTCCACTTATAAAAGCTTTTAGCATTCAAATCTTTTATCACATAGTTCCTTTACAGCCATCTATTTTCAATAATTCAAATAATCACATATTATTAAATTTATAATCAAATCTGCTTTGCAAATTTCAAGTTATGTTCATAGATCAATAATAACAATCATACTAAACATATTTCTCATAACAGTCAATAAAATTTTAAAAAAATATCATAATTAAACAAAACTCTTTATCAAACACTTTAAGGACATCAATCCTTAAACAATTACCAACCTCTTCCTCTTTAATTTCACTTTTAAAAATTTCATAATATCAATATTGTAACCAATAATCACATCAAATTCAATTAAAACTCAACCCACACCGTCATCATCTTCTTTCCATTACTGTAAGTTTCAGCTTAATTAATTCAAGGTTCCCTTTCATATACACACACAGCCACGAACAGCAGTAACAGAGAAGAGAAAAATTTTCCAGCTTCAATTGTTAACTCACATACACGCCCGGGAACATCAAGAAGGAAGGTTCACAGCCTCTCACCACTACAGCAACAATTTCTTCAACCCATACACACGCACAGAACCGAGGAGGGAGGAAGAGATTTCAAGATCCTTACCTCTAATCAACAATGGTGAAAGCTAAGAGGAGATGCTGCTACTTAAACAAGGAAGAAAAGGTGAACACAGACCAGCGATGTGCGAAGCAGAGGTAAAGGGAGGAGACTATGGCTGCAACCCGCACAGCAGCGCGCCACATGGGAGAAACAGGGAAGAAGAATGACGGAGGAAAGGATTCTGACCACCACAGTCTATAATGACAGCAGCGAGAAGGAGAAGAGAAGTTCAGAGGGTAAGGTTCAAGTGCTCTCTGAACAAAGAAAAAATCTTTTCCCTCTATCGATTCATCTGACCAATACCCAACTCCTCCCCCGTTCTTGAATGCTTCAACCGCAGAGAAGTGAAGGAAGAGACGAAGATGATCCTACTCAGTACTCACCACATACGACACCGAATGACAAAGAAGGAAGAAAAGAGGTGGGGTCCAGCACAGTGAATGAGAGAAGATGAACGTGAATTGAGGAAAGAGGAAGGAGAAATTTCTAGATCCAACGAGGACGATGGCCGTCGGTGACTTCTTCCCATTTTCTGATCTTTTATCGACAAATAAGGAGGGAAAGAGACTATATTTTATTTTATTTTTTGCCAAAATTACAAATAAGACCCAACAAGAGAAAAAAGAGATATGTCGGTGAATTCATAAATGTTAGGAATAATAAAAATATATATCTAAATGTCAAGCTAAATTTTAAACCTAAATTCATAAAAGATGTAATATGATTTTTTTTTAATTTTCACATTTCTACAATTTAAATCTATTTCTTTTAACATTTACTCAAATAAAATTTTATTTTATTATAATACTTAAATTGTAATGACCCATCATTCTTTTGTTGCCAATTTAACATTTTAAATACAGATATAAAATATGAAAATTTAATTATATTTTTTTCCACTATACACAATATTGTTTTTCTTTTAAATCTCCTCATATTCTTATTATATGTATATATATATATATATATTATTGGTCAATTAACTTTCTCTATTTTTTTTATTTTTTTAATTATCCTGAAATTCTTAGGTCATTATTTATGGAATCAAAGCACAATATCGAAGTGTTTTTAAGTAAGAACGTTCTCAAATAATGAGGCAGAGGATATTAGAAGTTTTTGGATTCAAACACTCCGATACGTGAACCATATAGGAGCATTTTAAAAATAAAAACATTCTCATAAATGCTTAAAAAATTAAATTAAAAAAAACTTATGAAAGCTTTTTTAATTAAAAAAATTTCAGGAGATAACATAATAAAAAAATTTAATTTATACTTACAGGAGCTTTTCTCATCAGAAAAGCTCCCACAGGTATAAATTAAAAAAAAATTAAAAAGTAGCTGCAAAACTTTTCTAATAAAGAAATAATACTTTCAATTTTTTTTTTTAATTTATACCTATTAGAAAAGCTACCATAGGATCTTAGATAGGACATAAAACGCTCTAGTATGATATTTATTTTTTTTTAATTTTTAATTTACTCCTTTTAATTCTTTCTTTCTAGATCGTCATTCCCATTGCTCACCCTCTTCTCCCGAACAAGGTCTGTTGTCTGAGTCCCCAATCTACTGTAGATCGTGAGTTTCTTCGGTCATCTTCTATTCGAGCTTGTAACCCTCGTCCTCAATCACGTGTTCCAGATTTGGTATTATCGTCATCTTCTTTCGTCCATATCTACCGTGGCATCCTTGCATTCAGATCTTTTGAAGGTCAGACGTCATCATCGTGTTCCAGTTCATTGAAGCTACCGATGACGTAATGTCAAGGTTTGTTGAAGCTCTCAGACGTTCGTGTGTTAAGCCTACTGTGATTTGCTCTCTTTTTTTTAGCCAGATTCTCGCATTTTCCAGATCATCTTTGCTCTTCTTTTAGCCTTCATTCTTGCGTCCTTTGGTCCCTGCTTCTATTCAGCTTCTAGGTTTTTTAATAAATTATATAGCTATTTATTTGTTTACGAATATGACAAATTACTGATCTTAGTTAATCCTCACATTTATTTGTTTAAGAAAATTATTTGTTTAAGAATATTCTACCTCTCAGATTTATTCTTCTCGGTAGATCATGTTACTTTGCAACACCTTAAATTAATGGGAAAGAGCTTATTTCATCCTATCTTGAATTAAACCTTGCTGATATTGAGCCCTGCATCTCGGGACTAAAGAGGTAAGTTATGTGTCCGTTTGCAATTTTCCTTTCATGGGTTCTATGTTATTGATGTTCCAGGTTGGTGTTACGTCTTCAGCAGCAAGTAGGCCCACATAAAACAAGTTTCTATTTGTTTGTTTTTCTCACATTAATTCATGGCCTGCTATATATCAAATCATAGGAATAGCTTCCGTTTGCTTCATTTGTTCTAAAATAGAAGGGAATAAGCTTTTAGCATGCTTCAGAGTTTGAAGCACTATTTGGTTGATCTGATTTCTGCTATATTATTTTCATTGTGGATTCATTTTACACAGCAACAACTACAATCTTTGCTTGAAACTCTGAATGCTACTGAGCCACATTACATTCATTGCATCAAGCCAAATAATCTTCTCAAGCCAAGGATATTTGAGAACACTAATGTGTTACAGCAACTTCAATTTCAAAAATTCAAAAAGCTATTAAACTAAATGATACCCAGTGAGTTTATTTGCAAATCAACATCAAAGTTAACATATATTTTGATTTTTCATAGATATGGCTTAGCTGCTACTGTGATATCGAATGATCTGAAAAGATGTGAACATTTAACTAAGGTGAGACTGATTTAAGATTGTGATAAAAACAACAAAATGATTTGGTTGCTTTTGGACATTTTTTTTTTTTTTGGGGATTAGGTTGCTTTTGGATTAAAATAGTCTATTTTGCTTCTCTTTAGGTTTGTCAGGCGGGAATTGTATGGATCAATTGCTCTCAACCGTGCTTCACTCAAGTCCTATGGGGAGGCATTAAACGTAGTGGTCTTGGTCATGAACTAGGAGGGTATGCTCTTATTTCCTAAATAATAAATGTAAGTCACTGTGAATGCCTTTTATAATTTCTGCAAGTGATTGTGACAACGCTATCTTGTTATGATGAAGAAAATCCTCATTACTCTGCACATGTTTTGTTAATGCTTTTAACAGACATACTACAAAACTGACAAGACAAACAAGTGAAAAATATATACTTGGATGCAAACAGAAAGCAAGCATACTTATTTTCTCAAATCTGTTACTTGTTGAGGACGAATCTGAGTCTTCAAATGCAAGTTAGGAAAGCATATTATAAGTAAGGAGAACTGGTTTGTGGTCAACTTGGTGCTTTGTTGTGCTTTTTAAGTTGGTCATGACATCTTATTTTATCTGCTCTTCCTTGTGTGATCTCATTAGAGCATATATGAGTTTAAGGAGATTAGTGTCACTAATTTGAGACAAATGACAATAAACTAGCACAATATCTATCAATTTACAGGTCAGGCATATTCCCTCTTGTGCTTCATATGCCAAGTTGCTCCTTTTTTTCTCCCTTGCAAACATTAGATTCTAGAGAAAGCACCTGGTTATTGTACTGTAGAATTCTAACTACATAGGAGTAGTTGTGCATGTTGTTGGAAAAGCACCGACTAATTTAGGAAAATCTAGAATTAGAATAAATCAAGAAAAATCTAGAAATTTTCTCAGCTGAAGCAATATCACAAAGGCGGTGAAAGGATGATTCTAGAATTAATTATTTTAATCCTATAAAGGCGGTGAAAGAGGAAAATTGAGAATGCTGTGGAGAAGCTCTCACGGACATGGTTAATGTATAAATATGCGAGTGTGTGTAGCAGAGAGAATGGAGAAAGAAGAAAGAAGAGTGTGTGAGAGTGAGGAAAGAAAGAGAAAATAAGAAGTACGTGTGGGTATAGCCTTGTAGAATATGAATAGGTGGTGAGAAAAGTGAGAAAGAGTGTCAGCAAGAAAGAGAAAAAGAAAAAGAGTGAGGGAAAATTACGAAAAAGATATAAGTATGCGTAAATTATAGTTGAGTGAGTAATAAAAATTTATTTTTAGTTTAGTCCCTATCTTCCTCCATCATCAAATCCCAACATTTGATATTAAAATTAGAGCTATTGAGACGTAGTTGGGCTGCTCAATAGTAGTTGGTAGAGTTTGAATATTTAGGCGGAAGACTTTGGGAGTCTAGATTCGCTCGAGGATCTGCTAGTACACAGTCTGGGACTATAGAGTAGATTGGTTAGGGACCAGATCTGCTTGGTGTAAGTACAAGGCACTACTGAGGTCATCATGGCAAACATAACGTCGAATTCTTGTTTAATGGAGAAGCTAAACCATGAGAGTTATCAAGTATGGAGTACAATCGTTGAGCTCTACCTCGCAGGTCAGAATCTTTGGGATCTCATTGATGGAGATGACGCTACATGCCCAACAAATCCAAGTGAATTGAAGAAGTGGCAGGTAAGGGCTAAGAAAGCTCTTTACATAGTGGTTGTTACTGTTGAGCTATAATTCATTAGATATGTCAAATATGATGCGAAGTTGCAGTGGTTGGAGAATGAGCTTGCCTCAATTCGACAAAATGATATGCGTATAAGTGAGTATTTTTCAAAAGTTAAAATTATTTGTAATGAGATTTCAAAGTTAGATCCAAGGAACCCTATCACTGACACAAGGATGAGGAGAATTATTATTATGGGGTTAAACCTAAAATATCATGGTCTAGTTACGGCAACAAGAGGTTGGTTGAAGGAACCAACTTTAGCTGAGTTGAAAAGTATCCTAGCTAATCAAGAAGCATTGGAAACTGAAATGTCCAAAGTTTTTTTGAAAGATGATGAAAAAGCTCTCTTTTGTAAAAAGAGACATCAATGAGAGGATTCCAACTCAAAGAAGGAGGGAGATGATAAAAGGTGACAAAATGACTGGCACAGAGGATGTCGCAATAGAAGCTCACATCAAGGGGATCTTGTGAAGATTGAAACAAGCCCGAAGAGAGGAAAAACTATCAAAAAAGAGGTCAATGCTATAATTGAGGGAATGTCGGCCACTTTGCTCGAGATTGTTGGTGTAGAATGGCCAAAGGAAATGTTGTCACCTCCAACAATAAGACAGCGAGGAAGAATGGGATTTTCAAGCTTCAAGTACCGTTGAAGAAGAGACAGCAATAGAAGATTTTAGTGAAGAAGAAATAGAAATGTCCTGCATTGTGGACCAAGCAAATGAAGACAAGGAAGAGAGCATTAAGGTAAACAAGAATGAAGATGCAAATAAGGACGCAGAAGATATAGAGAAACTCCATTTGGAGAAAGTAATTGAATCATGTTTTGGTGTTCAGAGATCAATCAAGAAAAAATATGAAGACAAAATGAAGAACATAGATAGGAAGACCAATCACCACCATTTATGGAGATACAGAAGTCAAGTATCAAGAATGTTTCAAGGCACAAAATGAAGACCAGTTCTTACGAGTCTCCTCAACAAGACAGAGTAGACTGCAACAAGTTCAAGAAACCGTTTAGGAGACTGAGAAAAACAAGAAGCAATTTGGCTTGGCAAAGATGTGCCAAAATTAGTCGGCGAGGGGGAGTGTTGGAAAATCACTGACTAATTTAGAAAAAATTTGGAGTTAGAATAGATCAAGAAAAATCTAGAAATTTTCTCAGCTGAAGCAATATCACAAAGGCGGTGGAAAGATGATTCTAAAAATAATTATTTGAATCCTCTAAAGGTGGTGAAAGAGGAAAATCGAGAATGCTATGCAGAAGCTCTCACGGACATGATTAACGTATAAGTATGTGAGAGTGTGTGTCATTGTGTATAGCAGGGAGAAAGAAGAAAGAAGAGAGAAGAAAGAAGAGTGAGAGTGAGAAAAGAAAGAGAAAATAAGAAGTGCGTGTGGGTGTAGCCTTGTAAAATATGAATAGGTGGTGAGAAAAGTGAGATAGAGTGTCAGCAAGAAAGAGAAAAAGAACCAAAGGGTTCCTGGCTCAGTGGTGATTGGGGCTGAGCTTGGTAGGGCGGACTACGGTTCGATCCCCCGCGGGGCCAATTGGGAGGGGGCTGGAACCTAACCACCCAAAACTGTTCCCCCGAATCTGGATTAGTCGGCCCGAAGGGTCGGATACCGGGTGAGTAATTCAAAAAAAAAAAAGAAAGAGAAAAAGAGAAAGAGTGAGGGAAAATTATGAGAGAAGATATCAGTATTTGTATAAATTATAACTTGAGTGAGTAATAAAAAATTATTTTCAATTGAGTCCCTCTCTTCCTCCATCATCAAATCCCAACACGTCACAGGTAATTCAGACGATAAGTAGTGTTTGCCCCTTGTGACATACACAAGATTTAGTTAATGCAAAATTTTAATTGTCTGGTAAACACTAGTTATAGTTTGAATTCCCACCTAGATTATATATTTGTGACTCTGAAAATTGGCTAAAGTTTATTCAAATACTACTGAATTATTAATTATTTATTTTTTTGTGCCCTTTGATGAAGAATTATAATTAGTGGGGTTTGAAAGTTGGAAGTACTAAATGTATATAAACAATGTATTGTGTGTAATAAATGTTGAATTATGGAAACATGAATCAACAAGATCAATGTGCGTACATACAAATAAGCTTTCATTTGATATTGATTTTGTTAAAGTCCAGAAACACATGCACTGATTCGATCTTGGATGGTATTTATATCTCCTTTTTCCTACATTATTGTTCCTCTGCTTCAATTTCTGTAGATATATGCAACCTTCAATTGTAAATTAAATCTTGAAGATTATCAGGTACCTATTGGTCTCAGCTGATATTTGCATTTAAGCCCAGTAATAGTTTTGCTGAGCATGGGATGGTAGGAATTATCAATATTTTTCTTTTTCTTATTCAACCATTTTGACTTATTTTTAAGAATATGATTTGAGTTATATTTTTATGTAAATTTTACTTGAGTAGTTATCCTCTGACAAAGGGAAATCGTTAAGCTTCACGGCTCGTTATTGATGGAGTTTAGTGTTATTATATTTGTAATTTTTTATATTCTTATATGTAGCATTTTTTTTCATCCAAATGCATTTTTGATGGGTTCCTTTGCTTGAGAGAAAGTGATCCTACTTAGAAATTTCATTCATTTTCTAATAGATTTGTTTGTTAGTTTTTTTAGTTGTTCTAGTTTGCCGTTTGGTATCTGAAGTCGTCACTAACTTACATCAATTGTACAAATAAAATTTCTTGTACAAGTTGATAGTATATTATTATATCTTGTTATTATGATTTATTTGTTAAAAGATGTGTATTTAAATTTCTAGTTAAATGATTATAACATTTAAAAATGAATATGAAGCAGGCCAGCATTAAAAAATAAATGTGTTTTTTTTTTAAATAAACCTATGGGGATGGTTTTTGTAAAAAAAAGTTCCTATAGAGGTACCATATGGGAGCTTTTTGGAGGAATAACACTTTTGATAGGCCTACAGGAGCTCTTCTTCCATAAAATGCTCCAGTGGGCTTATCATGTAAGTGCCTTTTTACATATAAAAGCTCTTGTGAGGTAGGCCTATAGAAGAATTTATGGCAAAAAATGCTCCTATATGCTTACCTATAAGAGCGTTTCAAAAACGCTTTTGTACGTACGGGAACTCATGTTTTTGGAGCATTTTGAAAATGCTTTGAAAAGGTGAAAATAAATGTTCTGAAAGGTTTTTGTTGTAGTGTTTAACAACTCACCAATTACATGCTTGTTGCCTTTTATACAGAGAGAGGCAACAATGCTTTCCTTCAAATTTGAATTTCACTACCAGAAGGAACAATATAACCATTTGCTCTGATTTGAGTATTGTTGGTGCGCTTTGTTTAGGGTGAGTGGCAAGGTGATTGCTGAGTTTCTTGAATAGCGGGGAAAGTGGCCTCAAGACTTGGATGCCACTCTCTCAAAATGCAGCGTTTCCATTAAAATGCTGCCAGGGCCTCGTCTTATTGGGTTCTTGTGTGGTTTCCTCTGTACTGGGCCTTAGTTGATTTTTGATTTCAAGCCTAATGCACCAATTTAATTAGCCCAAACACACTTTATTAATTAGTTAGCATAGTTATTAATGGTATGGGGTTTTGAGAAAAAAAAAATTAAAAGGTTAGGAAGGTTAATTTGAATTAAACATTTGAAAGGGAGAGGGTTTTTTTTTTTGGTCAAAAAAAGTGAGTGTTATAACCAACTATATTAAAATTTAAGAGAATTTTGTATATTTTAACTTTCATAATACCATTCATTGAATTTTTACTCCGTGGTTTTTTCTTTCCCTTAAATAGATTTGTGTTGATATGCAATAATCAATAACTGCTTAAAGTATTAATTCTTAATAAACTACCTCAGAATAATAGAGTAATTTTTAAATTTCAAAGCATTAACTAAGTTTAGTCATATTCCTTAATCTTTTTTTGATGGGTTATTATAATAAGGATCAAAGGGATAATATTCAAATGAAATAATTTTGCAAGTAATACAGAAAACATCTGTCTCAACATTTGAAGAAAAGCTTCACGAGAGGATTCTCACACTTCACTTCACTTCACTAATTAGTTCTTGGGTGAACAGTCATATGGAGTTCGAAGTTCACGAACATACGTGCAGGGTACTGTTGTCATTTACTGCAGAACACTGATAATTGATATAATAAATTTAAGTATGCACCTGCATTATGCCAAAAAAAAAAAAAATTCGATCGTTAGGTCAAAAGAACTAGATGAAAGAAAAGCTATACAACTATGCTTACATGTTTTTCCTAATTTTTGATTATTTATTTGATACCAGTTATAAAATGTAACAAAAGCTACTTAAGTAAACAGTTTAATAGGAAAAATTAAATAATATAGAACATAGAATTAAATGAAAGGTAAATTGTATAATATGGGGCGCTTATGGAGTTAATTATGCTTATTTAAGGTTATATTTGGTTTAATTGGGATGTAAAATTCGTATTTCACTAATTATTGCCTTAAGTAAGTATTCTATGGAGACTTTATATTATATCAAGCATTTAATAAAAAATTTGACTTGTGAATTATAAAGTTTTACTTGTAAATTATGAAATTGTAATTATAAGTGAAAGCTAAAAACAAACAATCTTAAATTACAATTAAATTTCAAAAGATTTCATTGCAGTTTTTGAATTTCAAAAGACGTGTTTGTAAATAAATATATTGTATGAAATTTATTCATAATTTTTTTAAGAATTAACCGATCTCATTTGGGAAGAAGATATTCCTCCCCCCCCCCTCCCTTAATTTTGCGTGGCTAGCCAAAACTGGTTGCTAGTCACGATCATTGTCCCCACCTCGATAGATGAGGTTTATAGCGTCCAAGGAATCTGAATGTAGCCATCAAAATATGGAGCAGATTCAAACAAAATTCCATTCCCCATCCAATGGCCTTGATCTCAGCATTAGGTATTGGTACGCCGCCCAATTCGTAGATAAAACCTTTCAGCCACATGTTGCACTATTATACTGAGGATGCATCCCATCAATGCGCACGAGCCCTATGGTGGGGTCCATCAACTTCTGATTTTTGAGTAGTATTCCGTCTGCACCTGTTTGGCCAGATAAGCTATCAGATGTTCCCAAACCCTTCGGTATTGGAATTGACGGCCCCAATTTTGTGTGATGTACGTATTATATGAGAAAAAAAGTGGTTATGGTAAATAATAAATAATAATAAACTGAAATAATAATATCATTTCCTGTTTTTTTTTTTTTGCTCTCAAGCAATCTCTCAATATATGAGGAAAAAAAATGATTACCGATTTACGGGATACTGATATGAGATTTTTTTTTCCTTTTTTTTTTGGTTTTGCACAAAAAAGGAGCCCATTTTATTAATATAAAAAAATTATTACACAAACTGATCACAAAAAGCAAAAGGAAACGAACACCTAGGATACAACTTATCAGAAAAGTAAATTCCTAAAATACAACCTACAAAGTAAAAACAAACCAAAAAAGCAACAGCACCTGCAAAAAAAAGAAAGAAACAGTCAACCAATACCTTCACGTGGCCGAGCCTCAAACACCCCACCGCTTGAACAATGCAACCTTTAAGAATCAGCAAAAAGAATTGGCACAGGGCGGAGATGGTGCTTCAAGAAGCCATCCAGCAGGATACATCTCCCTCAAACCTTTAGCTGCAAGAAGATATTACTACAAAATAAATTTACAGGAACACCTTTTTTCTTACCTTAAGGAGCGCTTTTGAAGCGCTCCCGTATCGAGCGCTCCGAAATGTACAAGAGCGCTTAAAAAAAGCGCTCTTGTATGTACGCTATACAGGAGTGCTTTTAGAAAAGCGTTCCTGTATGTACGCTATATAGGAGCACTTTTCGAAAAGTGCTCTCGTAAGAGAACTCCGGTTTATAAGGGCGCACGTCATGTACAAGAGCGCTCTTGTATACTTTTATGCTGACACCTTACCGGAGCACTCTTTAAAGCGCTCTTTTAAAGAGCGCTCCAGTATGTGCCATATAGGAGCGCTCTGGATATCACTCTTTATCAGAGCGCTCTTGTAAGTTATACAGGAGCGCTCTTCAAATGAGCGCTCTCGTATATTACTTTTATTTTTTTAAATCAAATTTTTCAAATTTCTCCTTTTACATATCTTTAACAATGGAAAATCATAATATCAAAAACTAATTTAAAAATAATATCAACATAACAATTTATATATAAGAAAAGAATTTGAAACTGATACAACAATTTCAATTTTCTAACTAACGTAGTTTAATTTCTAACAAGCCTAACAAATGAAACTATTGTTATTTTTTTAACATTGAAATCTAACTTCCTATCACAAATAGCCAATAATATATTCTGACCACTCTTCAACTAAATCTTCTATTTGCTCCATAGTAAAATGCGAATATCTTGCTCTAACAAAATACTACACAAGATATGAAAGCAATATATAAGTAATTAACATTATATTAACTTAATTTAAAAGCTTTTGACTTACATTTTCAGGAATGATCAACTCTTGTTGTGTGATTACTTCTCTCATAAACTTCATAACATAATATCCACACTTCCAACCTTGTAATTGTGTAGGTACCTATAAAACAATAAAAGATGTCATTATCAAAATATGGTAGAAATAAATTCTAACTTAATTTAAAATACTTCAGTGATGAAGTTATATATATGATACAAGTATTTGCTGTCGAAAATCTGGCAGAGTCTCCCCTATAACTTGGAAGTTCCAGAATTTTCCAAGAATTCTACATCAATCCAGAACAACATATTCAGAATAACAAACATAAAATATCAATCAAACAATCATTTAGATATGTACCACCTTGTTTTATTAAGAAAATAATACAAACCTTTATTCTTTTCTATGAATAAAACTCAACAGGATCAGGTCTTTCGATGTTTGGAGGGAGACCTTCACCTGCTTGATAACATGCTACAGCCCTATTATATAATGATTAAGCATACCAAATAAAAATTAATTGTTATAATAAACATATATAAAGAATATAGAACTAAAAACTTACTGATTAAATAATATCCTCATAGATTTGTAGTTCTTAAAGTCACTATCTCTTAATGAATCAAGATAATAAATCACAGGGACGAATGGATTGATACAAACAAGCATCTAATGTTGCTTGAAAAAATAAAATATTTCATTAACTAAAATATCAACTAAAGTTAAAAATAAACAATAATAACAATTTAGCCTGGATTGTGAGGAGCTAAAAATAACATGTTTCTTTTGCCTTTGGCTTTGAATGCATCAATAATCTTTTGAGAATGGTACTCAACACTATAGGTACTAGTGTTGTGCGGGCTAATAAATAAAAATTTTGTTATCAATGAGCCCGACACCACAAAAGTATAATATAAGTACCTAAAATGAAAACAAATAGAATCATTCACAACTAAAATTAAATAAATACCACAATAAGTAATAAAATTGAGAAAGTACCTGATGTATAAACTAATTTGTGTGGTTTGTAGCCAATCCTTGGTCAGAATCTCGTTAATATTTTCAGCTGCTAATTTTTTGCTAATTATTTCACCATAAATCTCCTTTTCAAATTCTACTTTATGAATCTCATTTTTAAATGTTGTCCGCATAGTCACTTCAAGTGCATTTTGATGAGGATATTTCAACTGAGTAGATTTTGTGCTGGTCTTCCTTGCCTTAGTCACAGAAGTAGATCCTTTCGACGGCTTTCCTTTCGATTTGATTGGCTTCTTTACAACTTCTTTAAATTTTGAGGACTACAAGATGTAAAATGGATTGGTAAGGCCGTAAGAGCTTTGAAGGCCAAGCCACATAAGTTCCAACCGCATCAAAAATCATGAATATATCCTCATCTTCTATTTGCACTGGCAACTCAATATCATTTTCTATTGGAATAGTTATAGTCACCTTTAAGTGATCAGCAGGCAACGGTCTGGAGTGTATAGTAATACTATTGTCATTATACACAGATCCGAGTGCCACAACACGACAATGTGGTGATTCTAACCATAATTGACATTGAGACTCGCCCTAAAAATTAAAAATTAATATTTTAAAAAAAATGTGAAACATAATTTGTGAATAAAGAGAAGATAATAGAAAGAAAAATTATAACCTTAGGAAAGTCTTCTTTAGTATGGAAATAATAACTATCTTTATCACTGGGGCTACCTTGTGGCACATTTACAACTCCAATCATTTGCTCAAATCTCTTTTCCATTTGAACTTGAATTTTTTTTTCCATTCTCGCCTCCATTTTTGCCATCCTTGCATTAAAATCATCTTCAGTAAAAATTTTGGACCGATATCCAAAGTAAGTGCCCTGAGAAATGCCAAATTCGACTCCTCTAACATGACCAGAGACCTCTGGAGCTCCTAATGCCCTACCAAGGACATCCACATGCTCCCCCACATCATCTTGTGATATTGATTGTGATAATGCTTCCTGTTGAACAAATTGTAAACTAATTATTAAGTAAATAATGTAAATAAAGTAATACACTAAAATATTATTACTCACACAATCCTCCCAAACTTTTCGAGTGCGTTCATCAGGTAATTTACCTTCTTTATCTTCTCGAGCAATCTTCCAAATAAGAGCTCGAGAAATTGGAGCATTAGGTCCAACTTCTTCCCTCTATTTAAAGAAGATATTAGAATAATTAAAAAACATTTCCTTATATATATATATATAAGTAATATCAACAGATGATATTAATTGAAACTTACCAAACCAAGTTCAATATCTGGATGCCATGTGGGTTCATTCCGTCAGTAGTTAGTGCAAGGCGTAAGTTTCTATTTTCAACCCCAAACTCAGGGTATATAAGATCAAACTTTTTCCATTGAGGAGAATTTGCAGGGTGTCATAGCTTGCCATCCTTAATTCTCTCATCAGCATGCCATGTTAAGTGTTTAGCATCTTCTGCAATGCTGTATAAGCGTTTAAATTTTGGTATGATTGGAAAATACCATAATGCCTTCGCTGGGCTACATCCATTTCTTTTGTATCGTGATGCATCACATTTTGGACACTTATCTAAGGTTGAATACTCTTTCTGAAAGAGGACACAATCATTTGGACATGCATGTATCTTCTCATAGCTCATCCTAATAGAACAGAGCACTTTTTTAGTTTCGTAAGTATTAGGTGGAAGCTCGTTATACTCAGGTAACATTTCATATAAGAGTTCAAGCAAATCTATGAAACTCTTATCACTCCATCCATTCGCTGCTTTTAGGTTGTATAGTTTCAAAATAACTGATAGTTTTGTGAATTTTTTACAATCAAGGTATAATGGTTTATCAGCATCACTCTTCAATCTCTCAAACATCTTAGGTCAGTCCTTAAGATCCTCTTCAATCACATCAATCATTTCATCAAAACGGTCAACATCATATATCCCACTATCACGATCAAATGTTAAGTAGCTCGCACTATCCCTCCAATCACTTGCATTATTCCTTATCTCCCCATGCATGGTCCAACAAGTATAAGTTGGATCAATCCCATTACATATTAAATGATCTTTCAATTCTATTGGCTTTACTCTTTTTCTATAGCAACATTTCAAACAAGGACATATGACTCCACAAGGGTCTTGATCACGAAAAAATACAAATTCAATGAATTCATCCATACCATCCCAATATTTTCTAGATAGTCGATTAGCCGACATCCACTTACGATCCATATCACTAATATGATTACCAAAATTCAATAAACAAAAGACTTAGATTTCTATAAAAAAAAAAATCAATAGCATCTTCCTTAAAAGAAGAACCTTCCAAATGATCAAACAATCGAATTCCACAACACAATACATTTAAACTAAAAAAATCAATTCATCCAAATAAAAATTTAGTAGCATAATGCATCTAAATTCTATCAATCAATTGTAATTTAATTAATAACAATAATCTCCCTTAAAAGTATATTTCATAAATAAAATAAAAATGTTCAAGTAGTTTCCTCAACTTTAATCTAAATTATCAACTATCAATACTCCATAATTTTAATATAAATAACTTCAATTCATATATTATCTATAATATTGATTATTAAAAAAATATTTGAAATTTATTCTCAAATATATAAATTAATTATTAAAAAAAATACCTTCAAAGTGTAGTCTTCACGGCAGAAAATGGCAGTATTCACGGCAGCAACGACGTTGCTTCCTCCGCTATACAGCAGTGACGCACGGTGGCAACAGAGGTCTTCATGGTGTCGCTTCCTCCGGTGTACAGTAGTGGCATAGATCTGCAACAACAATACAGATCTGGAACAGAGATGCAGATCTAGAACAGCAAACAGTAGATAGCGAACAATGCTCAGCAGACATATGTCGGCGACGGCGACGGCCGCGGCAACGCAGGAGATGGACGGTGATGTGGCACAGAAACAGAGACAGATACACGACACAGAGATGGACGAGCAGTGAACAGCGAACAGTGCTCTTGAAAGAAACAGCAAACAGTAAACTGGAACAGCAAACAGCGGTGATGATAGACTGATACAACAAAGATCTAGAACTTGTTGGGAACGCACGGCCTCAGCAAAAGAGAGAGAGGTTTGAAAGAAATTGAATGGAGAAAAGAAAACTGACGAAAAATAAATAAAGGCTGGAATCACTCTTTCGAAGCGCTCATTAAAGAGCGCTTTGGAAGACCTCCTCTTCCGGAGCGGTCTTTGACAAGCGCTCCGGAAGAGCTCATCTTCCGAAGTACTCATCCACGAGCACTCTAGAAGATATGATATTTCAGAGCTCTTTCGAAGCGCTTAAGTATGAGTGCTTCCGAAGGTATTTTTAAATTTTTTACAATATTTTATTTATATTAATTAGGAGCGTTATCTCATTGAGAAGCCTGACATACAGGAGCGTTTATTTAGAAAAGCACTCCAGTAAATTCCGCATTCATATTTTAGAGCGCTTATTTAAAAAGCACTCCTAAATACCCGCTCCTAAAGATATATTCTGCAGTAATGAGATCGTTTTGGAAGTGTTAATATGGTAACAATTATTTAAGCAGAAAATTCATGGATAGCTCGGAACATATAATAGCGGTGAAGGACATAATTAAGAAGAAGATTAGAGTCATTGTACATCAAATATTTATGTTGTAGAGATTGTATGAGGAAAGGCATTGTAATGTAATTTGTCTCATGCTAATTGGATGTGTGCAAATTGAGGCAGAGCAATGATTGGATAATATTGTAGAATTCCATAGAGTTCCATCATTTTAGTCGTGGGTCAAGAATTATAATATTCCTTTGATAGGCTTTTCAATAAGCTTTGGGTACTATCACAAACTAATGATTGATATGGAAGAACAATTCAAATTTTAGACATTATACTAAGATATTGTATTTTGATTGTTGGTGGAAGTTGAAACAACTATGGATTTTAGGGAGTTGTACTATAACAATGAATATTTCCATTTGAATGGTGTGATGTTAAAATAAAATTTTTTGGAGACTGAATTTGGTGCAAAATGTCATTGTGAATGTGAAGGTAAGTAGAGAAAGACTACTAACAATTGAAAGCGGTCATGAATCTTGTGTGAACATCTGATGCCAAGAGTCAGAG